CTCTCTCCGGTACCCCATAAAATTGCATCCATGTTTGGATGGCTTCCAAAACTGCATCGGACGACCTCTCCAATATTCGGTATGCCATAGCAAGTTTGCTAAAAGTATCGATCATGGTTACCCACTTATACCCTCTCCATGTGAAAGTGTCGATCTGGAGATCTTGCAATGGTGCGTCTCCCGTGGGTGTCTCTTCCTGTCTTCCCTGAGGCGGGTGTCTGTCGTACTTCGTGCGCATACACACCTCACATGTTCCAATTGTTTCTTGTATGGTCTTCCTCATTCCCCACCAAAAGTATTTCCTGCACAGTGCCTGTAAGGTTTCGTTCACTCCCCTATGGTTCGTCTTCCCCTGGTGATATGCAAGAGTCACCTCCTTTTGCCGTTCCTCGTCCGTTATCGTCTCCACCATATATCTGCATCGGACAAATATTCTATCTATTCCGATTTTTTCGGACCTCCACATCCTCTTAATCTTTTCCCATATTGTGGCGTTTCCCACATAGAGATGATTTGTCTTCCCTGGCTCCGATGCATCCTTCAGCGCCCTGCAGATCTGATCCTCACGCACCCCTGGTTGCGACCAGACCGTGTCGAACATCACGCGATGGTCCACCACTGTCTTCCTCGATTGCATTCACTACTATGGCTCTCGACAGCCAATCGGCCACCACATTCTCCCTTCCTGGCTTATACACTATTTCAATATTATATTGGCCGAGAAATTCCTTCCATCGCGCGACTCTCGCAGAGGATTCTTTTAATTTCCCAACCCATTGAAGGGGCCTGTGATCGGTGTGGACTCTGAACTTTCTTCCGAATACGTAAGGCCGAAAATGATCAATAGCCCACACTATCGCGAGCAATTCCCTCTCCAAAGCGCTATATCTCGTCTCAGCCTCGGTAAGGCGTCTACTCGCGTATGCTATGGGTTGCTCTCCACCTACTCCATCCTGCGACAGTACTGCTCCCAGCGCATACTCGCTGGCATCCGTGGTGATCGTGAACTGCTTACTGAAGTCCGGAAACGCTAATACCGGTTCTGTTTGTAAACGGTCCATACACTTCCTAATGTTCTGTTCCATTACTGGTGTCACGATCATCTTAGCCCCCTTTTTCAGCAGATTATTGATCGGGACCAGGTACTCTGCCATTTCCGGCACAAACCTCCTATAATAATTAAGCGTCCCAAGGAGCCTCCTGATTCCTTTAACATCTCGCGGAACCGCCATTCGCCTAATAGCCTCTACCTTCTCCGCGTCCGGCCTAACCCCGTCCTTCGAAATTGTGTGGCCTAAAAAATTAATCTGCTCTTGTCCTAATAGGGATTTCTCTCTGGATAATTTTAGACCAAAACAGCGCAACCTCTCGAATACGTTTCGCAGGTGTTCCACGTGATCCCCTTCCGTCTTGCTAAATACCAACAAGTCGTCCATATAGACCTGGCATACGGTTTCATCCAACCCTCTCAAGTATTCGTCCACTAAGCGCTGAAAGGTTATCGGAGCATTCTTTAGTCCAAACGGCATCCGGGTGAACTCGTAATGCCCCCTTTCGAATGTGAATGCTGTTTTATGCTGATCCTTCGGGTGCATCTTTATTTGGTGATAACCAGCTTTGAGGTCCAGAGTACTAAATATCACCGCCCCACTCAGCCTGTCCAATATGTCCTCGAATCTCGGGATCGGGTATTTTTCGTCTATCGTGTTCTCATTTAGCTTCCGATAATCTATTACCACTCGGTACTTCTCTTCTGTCTCGCCCGGCACTCCCTTTTTCCTCACCGCCCACAACGGACTGTTGTATGGAGAGGTGCTGTTGACTATTATACCCTGCTTTTTTAAATTCTCTAATTCTTCCCGAATATGCTGTCTAAGTGCTTGTGGATATCGCCTCTCCTTCACGTATGACACCCGCTCCTGCTTTAGTGGTATTTCGTGGACTGTCCTTCCCGTTACACCTAGTATCTCTCCCTCCTTGAAGAAGATATCCTCGTATTCTACTCTTATGGCCTTCCTCCAATCCTCGACTCGATTTACCGCTCCTATCCGCGCTTTCGTACCCCTTATGCTCTCCGTACTCTTGTACCTCTGTCCTCCTAACTTGATCCTCCAAGTCCCATTCCTGTACTCGACTCTAATCCCTACTTGTCCGAATAGGTCGCACCCTATTATCGCCTGGTATTCCCGAGTTATGTTTCCAACAATGTGCACTTTCAAACTCCCCTTTCTACCTGCCCAATGGTTTAACTCAACGACCGCTTCTCCTTCCACCTTACACGCCCCTCCTAGGGTAATTAATTTACACTCGCATCCCTGAATCCGGGGTGCGCTCTCCCTACCACACAGCCTCTCTAGTGCCCCACGGGTCATAATAGTGCAAGTACTTCCCGTGTCTACCAAGCACCTCACTCCCCCTGTTATCGTGATGATTGGCAACCAGCAGGACTTACCTCTTATGTTATTGCAGGTCGCTGTGCGGTCGCCGCTCTGAAGACACGCTCCTCAGATCTTTGCCTGCTTGCTCCTCCTCGATGCCGCTCGTCTTTGTCCGCTCCACTGCGTGCTCCTTCCTCCTTCGTCTCCGCTGCTCCCTGGTTCCTCTTCTTCCGTCTCCGAGGCCTCTGATATCTCCGTTACCTCTTCCGAAGGCCCGCTTCGTCAAGTCATATTAGGGTTCCTCCTCACCTTATGCATATTGACCTCCATCGGCTCATCTTGTGCCGTCTCCCTCCTTCTAAACATGTACGGGCATTGCCGCGCAATGTGTCCTTCTGTTCCGCATTCGAAACATTTGGTACGGGGGCATTGTGCCACTAGATGTCCCGTCCTGCCGCAGCCATGACACTTCCTTTCCTCCTTACGGGGTCCATTTCGTGGCCTGGGTGGTCCTGGTTTTCTTTCCCTGTTGTGGTCCTTCCTCTGTTTCCGTATCCCGACTCCCTTTTCTTCCACCCTATCGGTGCGGACCTGAAGCGTCTCTCGCTCACTCGGTTCCATCCAGCTTCCTCTATCTCCATTCTACTTTCTTCCTCCCTCGCGCTAAAGTCGACCATCTCCTGGGCACACTCCAGGAACGACCGCTCTCTTGGTAAGCCGTCCCTCTTTCCCGTCTCCTTGGCCAGTTGAACCTTGAGGATAGTTGACAAAAACTCCATCCTGGCCTCTACTTCTCCTGCACTCATCATTTCGCGCATCTTCTCCGTGATGTGATTAAACTTCGCCAATAGTACTCCCGCATACTGCCCGTTTGTTTGTCGTTGCGACCGTCGTTCCCTGAACATCTGGAAGATGTCCTCCTCTGGAGTCCATCGGCCTCCCCCAAAAGCCTTCTTCAACCTCTGTTTGATCACCGGCCATGCTGTGTCTTCGTCTGCCTGTATCTGGTTAAGAACACTCCTCCGTACTCTACATACCAAGGCTGCTTTCAATGCTTCAGCATCTCCCAGGTTCACCAAATCTTCCGCCACCTTTGCCTCGATTCTAGAAATGAGACGGTCCCCACCTTTCAGAAAATGGTTCAGCTCGCCTATCTCTCCACCGAAGCGTTCCAAGTCCGCTATAGCTCTCCTTAGATCCTGAGTGGTCGCTGCTCTTACTTTCATCCACTCCAAGGCATTGGCGTGTGCTTCCGCCAATGTGTCCCTTGGTAGCGGAGGGATTTCCGGAATCTGCGGAATTTCCGGAGCCTGATGAACTTCAGGTGCAATTGATATTCCCGGGTTAGGGATTCCGTCTGTCGCCATCCTGCTTCTATTTTCCTGTTTGAGCGAGAAAAAAGAAAAAGAAAAAATAGTTTCCTACTTACTGGGCAATAACAATGTTCCCGGGTTTCGGCACCACTTATGCGACTTTGAAATCAAACGATAAAAAAAAAGGAGAAAAGGGCTGTTAAATGACTCACACGGCTTCAGAAACAATACTGCTTTATTTGTGAAGTAATCCTTCTTATATACACTTTAGAGCTTTGTTTACATACCAGGAAGGTATTAAGGCTGATACTGCCCGACTCCTGTCCTTATCTTATATATATATATATATATATATATATATATCCAACAATTATTTCCACAGTGAACCCTAAATAATTATTGACAACTATTCAGTCAATGCGAAAAATTATATTTTCTTTTTCAATTGTAATACCTAATACTTCAAAAATATTTAAGAAATTATTTATTTTTAGTACATATATTCGAAAATGATTCATTATTTTAATAGTAATTAAAAAACATTATGGTACATGATTCGAGGAAAAAAAAACCTGTTAAAATTGTATTGAAAAAAATTAAATTTTTATTTACTGTAAATAGAAATAGAAATAAATTTGTCTTGAATTTTTATTTTGACGAAAAGGTGAGAAAAGGTTTGACGATTTTTTTTTTTTTAATATTTAAGAAAAGTATCATTATATTATATACATAAAAAGGCCGACTATGGAAATGAACTTATATTTTAAATATATAAAATAGTTTTGTTTTTGAAAACAAATATTTGCACCATCGGTTTCATAGATGATTTTAAATGGGATTTGGTACTTTTTTTTTTTTTGTTTTTTTTTTGATACGAAAAAAATAGATTGGGAATAAGCGGCTCATTTTAAATAGATGAAACATGTGCACGGTTAAAGAGTTAAAAATGTATTGAGATAATATATAAAATACACCACGCTAGTTATTAACAAAGAGAAAAAAATTAAGGTGTATTTTCCAATCTTCCTATCACCTAAAAAATGTTGTTTTGTCTGTATTAGATAATTTTTTTTAATGAAAAACAATTTCCTTAAAAATTGTTTCACTCAAAGAATTTTAACAGTTGAGCTATTCAGCATTGTTTAGCTCACTCCATTTAAAATTAATAAAAGAATAAATTTGTTTGAAGAAAACTTCATATTAGAAAATAAATTTTTTAATTCAACAAATGAACATAAACAATTAGATAAAAATATAAATATCTGAACACATGTGATGCCTTAATGTTTCTTATCTCCAGCCTTTACATTCAAGAAGGTTTTTCTTTTCTTTGTACTTCAGGAGGTTCTGTTTCCTTTGATATAATGTTTTTCAGACATTGTTTTTCCCTCTACAAAAAACAAATGTATATTTATTATTTAGAAAACGAAATAAAAACTAAGAAGTTAAATAAATTTTAAAATGTGATATATAGAGACCGAATTTTTATATCAAATAATATCCAATAAAAACCCCTAAAATACGTTTTATAGTTATAAAATATGTTGAAAATTGTTTTCATTTTCTTTTTCACATTTTCTGAATTCTTATTTTAAATTATTGAAATGATATAAAAAAACAACAGCGAATAAGCTTATAACAAATATATGTAACTAATTCGCCTGTAGTGTAATGGTTAGTGAACTAGTGACAAAAATATGGAAATAAGTTAATGCAATATATTGTGAGATGAACGGATTAATTATAATAATAAACCATTCATGATAATACTAGTTAACTAAAACATATGTAAAAACTACAATAGGCTTTATGTTTACTAATTATTGTCCGATTTTAATGATGATTTTTTCCGTTTGTAGGGAATCTAGAAACATTTCAAACAATCATAGGTATAATCCATCTTAAATTGTATGATTTTTGCGCAGATAATGATTATTTCATTTCATTACTTTTTTTCCCTGACATTTATAGAAATATGTTTATTTTATTTTATTGAAGATAATCTTCCAAATGATGGACCAGTCATTGAATTTGACAATGAACAAAAGAAGTTAAGGCGTAATGAAAAAAATAAATTTTTGAGAAATCATATATAAAGATAATTGTTGAAGACATAATTTGAATCACTCTTTAAAAACTAAGGCAATAATATAAACTTGCAATTAGTAGAAAAATAAATATAGCAATAGGTTTCCCATATTCTCAACGTTAGAAATTAGTATGTTGTGCTTTACCTTTTTTTGAGGTAGATATATGTAAATTACAGGTGTTAAGAAGTAGAATATGAAGCTACAGATTATTATATTTAAGTATGATAATTAATTTACGATGTTAAAATAATAAAATCAAATAAAATGCAAATGGATATGAAAATAGTAAATAAAAAAATCAATAAAATATATTTTTTTAAATTAAATGTCGTGCTTTACCTTTTTTTGAGGTAGATATCTGTAAATTACAGGTGTTAAGAGATCTTTGTTGACTTCGGCGGCGCTGTTGAACCCCGTGAAGTAGCTGACGACCATACCGACTGATATGACAGTGGTTACACCGATGAGAGTGTACCACATGTATGACAGTTGTAGGACCCAAGCCACGCTTTCACTGATTTTGAAACAAACCATAAAACCTACATTAGGTGATTTATTATTTCTTGATTTTTTTATTAATGAGTGGCTTTTGCGAATAACTCGCATAGTATTTCGGCCAGTAAACAGTAATGGATCCAGGATTTAATTTTTGGGAAGGGGGGGCCTTCGGCCTGAAAACCTTTTTTTTCATAAATATAACGAAAATTACAAAATAAAAAAACTAGCTGCCTATATGAAGTGATGTTTAAATGATTATTGAAGTACTATTAAATTAAGCCTCCCTCCTCCCCCTGTAGATCCGCCTTTTTTATTCCGATTTTTGGATAATTTCGAAATCAGTAAATGTTTGGGTTTTAAAACGCATGGTCCGGTATGTTACGAAGGAATGGCGGTAACGAAAATGGTTTGAGCTTTGACACATTTGGAAAATGGTTTTTCAAAGAGACGATTGGTTCGACCATTTAGGATTTTGCCACGGCTAATTTACTGAAACCTTTCTCGATTCAAATTAATTGGAAAGATTGCAGACGGCAAGGGCAATAGAGGAGGATATGAATGGATTACCTCTGGGGGACAATATTTAAATATTTTTTAGTACAAACTCAAGTGCCTAAAAAATTGTCATGATAACCAACAGACAAGAGTTATGAATAATTAACGTATTCCTGTTTTTTCCTGAAATTCTTAAGAGGCTGGATAACAATCTTAGTCTTCTATCCCACCAACGTTTGTTAACTCTAATACTATTCGACAAGTACTGTATGATCACTATCAGTTTATTTAAAAAAAAATCATGTTAGACCTCTGGAGTGTCAAACATATATGTAAGAACCATACGTGGGTCCAATTTCTTCTGATCTACTTCTTGCATTGGAATTATTTCACCTTTAAAATACTCAGGGCCACGGGCGGATCTACGGGAGGGGCTTTCGGGCTGAAGCCCCCCCCCCTCCCAAAATGGTAAAATATAACCATTTTTTATCGAAACAATATTAAAAACGTATCTCTTGTTCGTGTGATTAATATTAAAAGGGCTTTAGGAATCACTTAAACCCCATTTCATACAGGTAGTTAGTTTCTTTCTTTTTTTCCAAAGTAATTATCGTTATTTTTGTGAAAAAAAAAAATAAATCCTGGATCCTCTAGTGCTCAGGGCCAATTCTTGATCTTGGGAAGCGAATATCAATCATGTGAATGTGTTTTTAGATTCAGAAGTGAGCTAAAGTTATAACTACATATTAATTTTATTAAAAAATAAAATAAGACTTGGTTACCTGTTACTGGGAGGATACGAGAAGGTAAGGTTGGTCGGTGGGTCACAGCCTTCGATGGAGAATGGTTTGGTCTGGTACCTGATGAGCCCCTTGGCGATGGCCAGCTGTGAGAAGATGCTAAGGCAACCCGTCACCAGGACGCCGCTTATCCCGCCAATCAGGGCTCCCTGTGGAGGATATTGGTAACTCATAATTATTCACAACTATTATTCACGTTTATTTTCAAACAATTATTCACCTGAGCATTGGCCCAAGGGAAGAACATCCCTAGCGAGAACAGGCCGAGGAGAGGTCCAGCGGTTATTCCTCCTAAGCTCTTTCCAGCCTGAAAATTATTAAAGTTAATTTTACTTGTGTTAGTTAATTATCTATATAATAAGAAGGATTTACGGGGCTACAAGTGTTAATGGTGAGTGGAAAATCAAAAGTAACAATGAAATCGAGGCTATACTAGAGAATCAAAACATTACTAACTATATCAAGGCAAGTAGGCTTAGATGGGCAGGATATGTAATCAGAATGGAGAAAGAACGGGTTCCGAGAAAAATATTAGAAGCATACTTCAGTGGGAAGAGGAAAGGAGGAAGACCGAGGAGCAGATGAAAGGATGAAGTGGAGAGAGATACGAAGAAGCTAGGAGATCGCAATTGGAAGAGAGTAGGACAGGACAGAGAGAAATGGAGAAAAATAACTCAGGAGGCCAAGGGTCATGCTGGCCTGTAGCGCCGGGGAATTAGTTAGTTAATTATTTGTGGATAAATGGAGCATCCCTGATTATGGAAAAACCTGGCGGTTAGGCTTGATTTCGATCACGTCATCTCTTCACCCAACCGTTTCCCAAGAAACAAAACTTTCATACTAAAAGTGAAAATCATAGTGGCACATCGATTTCAACAATTTTATTTTTACTTTCACTTATCTATACATGAAATATTTAAAAAGGGAAAATATTATGATCGTGATAAGGTTCGAATTCGAGTTTTTAACGGAAATACACTAAATAGCCGAGTCCCGCAAAACGGTCTGTGTGTAAGTGAACAGCCTAGCTCAAAAACGAAGAGTCGTTCAAAACTGAAATTGTGCTTATAAGGTTTGTATATGACTGGGATGTTACAGCAACTTTGTTTGTAAAAATTTGCTAACCGGAAGTGTCTCTTTAAATCATTAATTTTTCGTTATTGAAAATAATAAACCAAAAATATTTCAAAATCGCGGTATCTTTACTAATAGTGCTTTGATTTCGATGGAACTTTCTTCATTTTTTAGGAAATTTAAATACCTTTGTCACGATAACGACAAAAAAAGTGTGTACTTTTTGAGTTCTTCGGAATCTAATTTTACCATCTCTCGTGACTTTTTGTCCAGCTTCTTTTCGTTGAAGTATGTCATGTAGATAAATTTAAAGGGCATCGAGAAGTAGACTTTAGCGATGTTTCATTGAAATCGGCACATTCGTTTAGGTACTATAGTCTATAGGAACGCAGGTTTTTCAGTCGCCATCTTGAAAGAAAAAGGCGGATAGAGATGCCGAAGAAAGAGGAACACCCTCGGGTGACCACTAATTTTAAATCTAAATTTGAAAAATATCGGTCCAGTAGTTTCGGAGAAAATGCGCGGACGGCGGACGGACAAAAAATTTTTTATTCATTTTTTGAATTCTGCATATCCTGGAAGGTAAAACCTCAAATTTTGAGAGAGGGTTAAGTTTTTGAATCTTCACAATGGTTCATTATTGCAAAATAATAATCCAAAAGGAGCAAAAGGCACGTTCATATGTTTTATAAGCTTAACATAAGGAAATAAAATTTTTTAAAAACTTAAAAACGATTTTCAAGATTTTAAAAATTCTTGAACTATGTATGTGACCATCTAAGTAAAAGGAGCCTGCCCAAAAGAAGGTTGGATGAGGCAAGTTAAGCCATCGAAAGTTTTAGGGAGGCGGCACATTTCAAGGAATGGATAATATGAACAAAAATAGATGTACCACTACAACCTATGAAGGGTCTTGGTTGGCTGAAAATGAATGCTTTAGTAAACGGCATGAAAAACAATCCAACAAAATCAACTCCATAAATCGAACCTGAATAATTTTTCTTTGTAAAAATTTACTCGGTTTACTTTACCCAAAGCGTCTTTTGGTTTTTGTAATTTATTACAAATTTAAATAGTTTCAATATAATCAGCGATATATTTCTTTTATTTTCCACCCCAAAAAAAAAAAAAATCCATACCAAGCAAGGTAGAAAAGAATAATTCGTGTTATAGATCCTTTTTTATCTTATTATTAACATCCGCCTGAAACTTCGTAAATAGTTTCATCTCATTGTAACCTACAACTATTTTAAGTACGAAAACTCTTGGAATTGGGGCGTTTTTAATCTGGAGGGGGGCAAACCCTTTTCTATTTAATTATATACTAAAAACTCGTAAATACCCATTTGCTTTCTACTTGGATCGTAAGATAATTTGATCATAAGATAGAGAAAAAGGGCGGCATTCAAAAATATTGAGCTGTTTGGCGCGATCTACACCCAAAATTTCAAAATAACGTGGTTGCCGTTTAGGTCAAATGGCCCAATATATTTATAGGCCACCTTTGTTATCGATTTTGTGATAAAATTATCTTACGATTCAAGTAGAAACTAATGGATATTTATGAATTTTTAGTACCTAATTAAATAAGCAAAGCTTACCTTCATCCAGATTGAAAACTGATTCGTAATTCGTAAATAAAACAGGTGTAGGTTATGATGGGGTGAAACTATTTACGAAGTTTCAGTCGGCTGTTAATAATTTGCTTAAAAGAGGTCTGTACCACGGACTAGAATACTATGGATTCAAAATTCTACCTAATATCTACAAATAAATTTCATTGAAATAGGTAACTACGTGTCCGTAACCTCTCCTTGTGTTATGAATTTTCGGTGAGTACCATATTTTGGTAGGAACTTTCAATTCACCGACCAAAGAAAAAAACATGGAACAACCTATACATTTGAAATAAATTACATTTGTAATAATTCCGCTTCAACTTGCATGGTTGTTAAGAAATTATAACAATAAAATTTCTTGAAAAGACAGGTGCATACGCCATCGCTCTTGTGGAGAGTATGGGGACCCGTGAACCGTATGGCAGGGAAGTGTTCAAAAATGAATTGCTAGATATTTATAATTTATTTGATAATTTTGTAATATATTTTATTATTATTATTATGCTAAAAAGATTAATTAATTAATTAATTAAACTTACCTGTATGAGAGCCCCTAGCTTCTCGACCAAGAAGACCAAGGCAACACACAGAACTCCAATGGATGCGGCAATTACTTTCATGATGCAGCTTGATGTGGCCTCCGAAAGGTCTCTCTTTAATACTGGCTTTATCAAGTCTTGGAATATCACTCCCGTCAGCGAATTCAGACCGGTGGACATCGTACTGTTGAAACATACCGATAAATATATTTCGTGTGTCCCAAGTAATGTCTTTAAAATTAGTATTCACAGTAACATGGGTGATAAATAGTCAGGACGCAGTCATTATACAATTTTTTTTTCCACAGTAGTTAAAAGTAACGGTTCTTTAACTTTTCAACTGCGATACCCTTGCCATATGTTATTTTAAGGAAAAATACGACTACAAAAGAGGTTTTAATTCAATTTAGAAAAAAAGTTTATAAAGTTAATAAAGAGAAAGAAAGATAAAAGAAATATAGTAAATATTCAGGAGGCAGTCATTACTGGGTTGAACCGTCGGCACTAATAAAAACTTGAACTATGTTCTATATTGACAAAATTTGAACTGTAGCTAGTTTTTATAGTTTACATCAATTTATAAGCAATTGAGAAAAAACTATTATTGATGATCACTATTTATTTATAGAAGTTTTAAGAAAACTTTTAAGTATATAGATTTATGAGAAGGAGTTAGTCAAGGGTGCGGTCAGATAAATACTAAATTAAAATTGGTTTTCAACTGCCTCCCGAGTGCTACATCCTACGCCCTGAAGACGACCTGCAAAGTGGGTCGAAACGTTGGCAAAATTAAAATAAAATAATTACTATATTTTAATTTAGTATTTATCTGACCGCACCCCCGACTAACTCATTCTCATATTATATCAACGGTCAACCATCTCTACATTAATATAGATTTATATTTATTGAGATATCATTTACTTCTAAAACTCTGAAAATTGATTTCTATACACATTAACGTCACAGAGCCAAAATTATATAATATTTTTCAATTGTTGGTTTGTTGTTTTGATGTTTTAGATGTAATACATATAAAGCCTACAAGCGCCCAATCAATAAAATAATACTGCTATTAAAATATCTTTTTGGTAGCTTAAGATAAATAATAAAATATAAATAATGACAATGAAAAATTCTAGAAAAACAAAAATGAAATAAATGGTAAAGAAAAGTATATAACTAATATTCTATAAAAAAATAAAATAAAATAATAACGATAAAAACTCTAAAAAAATAAAAATGAACAGAACAGAAAAATATTAGAAAAAAAAGATACCAAAATAATTAAATAAAATATATATTTAGGAAAATGAATAAAATAAAATGATAAATAATAATTATTTTTGTAACTCTTTGATTGTAATTTACTATCAATTGTTTGATTATATGAAGATAGTATGCTTGTATATATCGTTACTCATTATAAGTATATTTGGCCAATATGCTGTACAAATAACGAGTTTATCAAGAAGGCAGAAACGTGATAAATCTTAAAAAAATAAACAAAAAACATACTCACCTCAATGCAGCGCTGAAAACTCCAGAAACAAAGAGACCAGGCAAGCCAGGAACAGAAGAGCCGACCTCCATCACGAAATAGGGCAAAATCTGGTCCGACTTTTCTATTTTCTAAAAATATATTATTCGATTAAATTAAATTTCGTGCAAATACCTATTTCTAAATAGTTGTTACTGTTATATGTAATTCCAGTACATACACTATACTATTCATAATTTGTAAGTATATTTACTTTGCTTAAGAGAGGATCGCAGTGGTAGTAATAAGCGAAGACAACTAAACCAGTAAAGCAGCACATTGCAACTAGGATTATGATTCCAATAGCCAAGTTAGCAATAGTCCTGTAAAAGTATTATAAAATTATCATTAAATCTCATCATAGAATATATATTTTACATGCATATAATATATGTTGAAGCAGAGTGGCTGAATGACTAAGAAACTGTGTTCCTAATCTTTTGGTTTCGGGTTCGAGTTCTATGGCAGGTAATTATTTATTCTGTAACACCAACCGTGGATCGACCATGAAGTCGGAACCATACCCATACCATATTATATCATTTATATCATCCATAAAGTGGGTACTCTAAATCAATTAATTAATTAAGGAGAAAACATGGTTAATAGAAGATATGTCTTCAACCACCTTGAGATACTCTAACATGCTGAGAGATGGAATATTAGAGAGGAACTATTTAGTTGTAATAGGTATAATGTAAAAGCGGTTTCATTTCTGTGTTTGGTAAAGAAAAGACATTTTGACAAGGATTTGAATTTTTAAGGGAGCTCATTTCGACGAAATCAGGAATATTCGAATTGAAAAGTTGCAAACCAAAGGATAAAGGGAAGCACGGCAAAGTCAACAGGATGTATAATTATATATAATCTATGATCTATTGAATTCTGTTTTTGCTTGAACTATTTTTAAGAAGAGAAGAGCAATGAAATATTCTGGGAGGTGTCGGGGAAGATTCATGCGCCATCGGCTTTGGGAGAGATGGGCATCCCTGTTGAGATTTACTAGGGCTGGGCGACAGTTAATAGTTTTTCCACTATCTATAGTTCGATAGTATCGTTAAAAAACTATCGATAGTTCAGTAGCTTCCCGACTCAGACTTAAAGAGGATTTATTTTCGCTGTTTTCTTTAGTTATTTGCTTTAAAATGCTGCATAAACTGTATAATAATTACCATTTATATTGGATACATCCTTAAAGATTTCTGTTCATTTATTTCCCTGATTATAGAATTCAAAAAAGATAATCGACGAAATAGGTAGCATTTAATATCCAAGATTCTAATTTTCAAAATTTATTTTGATAATATCACTTAGTTTAAAATATAATAAAACTGTAATAGCATCCTTGTAGATATTATAACTATATTTTTTCATGAAAAATAAACAAAATAAGTGCGGAAAATGTTTTTTTTTTTCGATCGGCACAACTGACGGTGTGAAAATAATTTTAAGAAAGTAATTAGAGATTAAATTAAATTAATTTTTATCATGAAGGTTTCTTCTTGTTCAAATTTATTTCCGTTTTATATATTGTTAAGAATATCTTTAAACATGCCTTCACACCTCCATCCATTCATTTACTTAATGTGGATGGCGTTTCCATTATACAATAACAATTTTCTATTATCAAACATTTAACTTTTACATTAATATATTATTACTATATCTCGTATATCAATGATAGGTAGAAATATGAAGGCATTTTATTAAAATTATTCCTTTAAGTATATAAAATTTTAAAATAATTTGTGTCAAAGGGGAGGATACGAACTATCGATAGTTTTATACTTTCGATATATCGATAGTAGCATCGCCTATCGATATATCGATAGTAGTATCTAGTATAGTAGATTTACCATAGATTAATCTCGCTACACGTTAATTTTATTATTATTATTTTATAGATGGGGAAACATTCATCATTGAGCACTTGTTGGATAAATCAACTGCTGAAGTAACGTAAGTTTGTATGTAGTTCGTTGTCGCACATCTATTTGTTGTATGTTTGAATAAAATTTTAATTCGATACCGTTGTTATGTCCACTAGCGGATCCAGGATTTAATTTTGAGCGAGTGGTTTCAGCCCGAAACCTTTTTTTTCGTAAAAATAACGATAAATACTTAAATGTAACTTTTACATACTGATATGTAAATGTAACATTTATCTTACATATTTTTTCATGAAAAAATATATTTATAAAATGTACAAGGATGCTATTACAGTTTTGTTATATTTTAAAATAAGTGATATTATCAAAATAAATTTAGAAAATTAGAATCTAGGAAATTAAAAGACAAGCATTTCTGACTTTTCTCCTATTAAATAATTTAAAAAATACTACCTATATGTCGTCGATGTTTCTTTTTTGAATTCTATAATCAGGGAAAAAAAGAAAGAAACTAGCTACCTTTAAGAGATAATTTTTAAACATTTTTTTCCATAAAACATGGTTATATTTTATCATTTTGGGAGGGCTTCAGCCCCAAAGCCTCCCCCGTAGATCCGCCCGTGGTTATGTCTAGTAGTTTTTTCTACTATATAATTTTGCTTGTTTTTATTAGGATGTGACAAAAATAATCCAACTTTCCATACTGCGATTCTTGATATAATAATACTTACATGTTGGCCTTCGTCCTGGTCGGCATTGCAAGACACCTCTGTACCATCATCTGGTTGACAGAGCAGGATGCGAGCCAGTAGAAATAATTACCGATGACGACACCCCACACGCTGTGCCTCACCCGAGGGTCCGGATCAAATCTGAAACAGAAAATATTTTAATAAGGGAGCGGTGATATTTTCCGAACTTATGTATGACATATTGCTATTAGTAACAGGTTCATGTTATTTTTGCATGTTTCTATGTGTGAGTGCGCAGACTTCGAGAGAGCGAGGAAGGTGATCTCCTCCCAATAAAAATAGAAATGGAGAGAGGATATCATATCACCCCCCATATTTCGAAGAACAATAATAAAATCAAAATTAATAACAATTAATCTACACGAATGAATAATATATATAAACTAAAATCAATTAAAAAAATAGTAAAAGTGAAGTAGTTGGCTAAGGCCAAGAACTAGGTGCGCAAGTTTAATATATTCGCTATCTCCCTATTATTGAAATTGTAATTTATATTCAAAGACAATTTATATCCTAGGATTTTATTATCCATACATGTGCACGCACCCTTCCGTTGTAACGTGAATATTTTATCACATTGAAACTTCGGATAGTTTAGAGTTTATCGTTTTGTTTCGATGTCTAGGCGCAAAACATCCAGGTCATCAGCGCCCGATCAACTAAATAACACTACTTTTATACTGTTTGGATGGTTGGTACAAAAAATAAGAATAAAAAAAAAGGATAAAAATAAATAAATAAAAGGATTGATAGAATAAAATAAATAAATAAACTTTAAAAAAATAGCAATAAAATCAATAAATGAATTGAAATTAATAAACAAATGAACTTCTTAAAAAAAAATAAAATAAAATAAATAAATAAGTAAAAAATAATAATAATAATAAATCTGCAAAGGATCATTAGTTATAAACTTGTTATATATGTTGTTTAAGTCTTTCATTATCGAGGAACTTGATAACTTTGGTGACGATATCATTTTGATTTCCCTGGGATGCTGATATATTTCGAAATCTTTTAACCTTGCGGTGTAAAAAGGGCACTCTTCCAAAACATGTTTTATGGTCAATGACTGGTTACACTTTTGACATCTATGGATAAGATCTTTTGTTATGAGCTGGAGGTGTGTCAGTCTAGTATGTCCGATCCTCAGCCGCGTGAGGATGAGTATTGCGTGTTTTAGTAGAGTTTATCTCAATGCTTCAAACCTTTAAATAAAAATAAAAATAAGTAATATATTCAATTGCTTTGTAAATGTATTTTCAAATATAGCCATAACCCGAATGCAAAAATATAATTAAATCAAAAATATATATAAACATATATAGGTATATAGTTTCATATTTAGTATTATATTGTTCGTTTTACAATAATTATATTGAATCCATCTTTCCTTTCTTCCCCACAACCAGAATGAAAAATCTGGGCCTATGAGTGCAATAGTTGTGATTGAGGATATGATGCTAAATATAAATGGTATTTAATGTACTAGAGAGAGATTTCGTAAAATAAAAACTGTTCGTCAAAATGTTTCTATTATATTTTTTTATTTTAATAAAATAATCCATAAGTTGCATAGCATGCCATACCGCAATAATTGTATTATTCCGTATAAAGGTGATGACAGTATTTAGCCTAATGGATCAGAGATACTTAGAAGTCGTAAAGTACAATACTCTACTGAATACGAAATTACCAGAACCAGAGAATAAAAGATTCTCTACCACAGGCAGTTCCATCAATTAGAAATATGATTGTAATTTTTTTCCGAATAACACCAAATACAAAATTTTCACTAGTGAAACGTGAGCGATTCTGAAGATATTCCAAAATCAGTTATTGTGATCGACTATCTTTGTATCTTAATTGAATATCTCTATCTGTTATTAAAGAACTGCATAATGTATGGACCAATAGAAAATTGCAAAACAATTTAACGTATAAACTTGAAAATATATCAAAACGGCCAGGAAATAACACTGTTTAGTTTAGTTTCCTTTCACATATAGGCATAATTGGCAATGAAAGAACCGATGAAGGAACAAAAGAAGCAATCAGAAGCTCTAATTAACCTTAGTTTCTCAAAGAATAGACTGAAGAAATGACAAGAAAGGGGAAGAAAAATTGGAATGAATAGTTGGAACGACTCCCCCCGAAAAATCTAACTTCAAAGGTTCCATAATTAGATGGGTATGAATTCGACACACCAATCTGACCCATCTCCACCTGTTTCTAGGTCTATACCGACCAACATGCCAAACATGTGACAATGCAAATCTCACTGTCCAAAACCTATACTAGTGTAAAAATATCATAAAGCACGAATAGAACTCGACATTAGTAACAGCTCCATGCAAAGAAAATAGCGGAGTTCAAACAAATGGTCATGTACATTAAACAATTAATTATTAAATAAAAATAATATATCAAAGAAGACCAGTCGTTGTCAATGACTGTGACTGAAAAACAGCTTTAAATAAATTAAGTTACTTATTTATTTTATCAAAAGAAAATATTTAACCAATAAATAAAAAACAAAACAAATAAATAATAATAAGGTTTATCAGTCGAGAATAATAAATCCGTAGTACTGACCATATTTACTGTATCCAAACAATAAAAGCCTGCGAAACATTATTATTTACTTTAATTTATTTTTAAAATACTTTACATATATAACAAATATTCAAATTTAAATATTAAAACAATAAATACGACCATAGGCGCCCCCAATAAAAATTTCAAGGGAGCGAGAATATTGTTTTGCCTTCACAATAATTTGAGATGAATAACAAATTAAAATCAATAATAAATAAGCTATATGAATGAATAAAATGAGTGAACTAAAATCGATCAAGAAAAGTCAACTAGTTGGTTAGGCTAGGGCCTAGTAATAGTTATGTAATTATTTTATACATAATTCAATGTTACCTTAATTTAAATATTCATTTATATTCAAAGATAATAATATATATCAAAATACTCTAGGATTTTATTATTAAATCACCCCTCAATCTATATATGATATTCTGATCACATTTTTCGCAACCAACCAGTCGGACTGTGAAAATCGTTGCATTTTTTTGAGGTTGTACACACTAAGAAGATATTTTTACATTCACATTTAGCTGAATAAGTTCTAGAAATGTACAAATGTAATTAAGGCTGTCTTCTCACTTCTTTTTTTTTGGTCCATCGTCCTCCCCTCCCAAACAAAATCGAAAGCCTGAAAGAATGGGACCACATTACGGATTGATACTAAGTATTAAAAACAAACCTTGAACCTGCGATGAAATATTACGATGCAAATACTCACAAAATATCTTGCAAAAAAAGAATAACAAGGACAAACGAGGTATGAATAAATTTTAGGTAATGTACAGTTAGCTCTATGAAAAATTACTATATTATACAAATCATTAAGAGTAATAGCAATAATACGTGATCACGGAACAAAAGAAAGTTATAACGGGAGATTCGTCGAATATTTATCTCAGTAGTAACTCAGTTAAATTTGAACTTGACGGTTTTGGTTAATATGATTACAAAAATAGTCGATGTGAAGCGTTATCTACAATAAAATAAATTATGTACTGTGGACTTTAAGTTCATTTTTCTGGTACTTGATCTAGGATGTATAAATTCGTCATTCATCCTCTGTACTTCCATAAAGACATGTTTCCTGATTAATATTTAATTTAATTTTTCTTTTTTATGCATTAATAATTAATCTTTACGCACAGAAACACCCATCCCTCTTTCCTAGGTCGATGGAGCATGAAACCCTCTCCTCTCAAGAAACATTTTATTGCTTCTCTCTCCTTAATACCTGTTCAAGCGTAGGAGGCGGTGTGGACAAGCGAGCTAACGCGTTTGCAATAGACGCATTGCAGGCAGTCTGATAACCTAAAGATTGAAGAGTTCGAGTTCCTGTGCTGGGGGCATTTATCTCTGGCATTAATTCTCCAGACCCGAGAGATTTCTCGTATAGTTGAAAGGCGAGGGAGAGGAGAAAAGAAATGTTTAAGCAGTAGAATTATATATATACACTTTTTTTTTCGATACCCTTTATCGTTATTTCGTTATCAAATCCAATGATTGAGCCATAATTTTGAAGATTATCTTCTCCTTCAGGTGCGAAAAATTAGCACATCTCCAGAAACCTTAAGAAGAAAATGAAATCTTATTTGCGTATAATTCAAAAGTTATACAATTAGTGGTATATAATTTTCTTTTTTTTTTCAGTTGGCTTTAAAGACCATGCATATATTTTGCCGCCTCAACAACCCTGCTCCATCTCTGCCTGTCTTGGGCTATTTCATTCCATTTATCTGCACGCAGCTCTGTTGTATCTTTGTTGATTCTATCCATCTGCTTTTTGGCCTTTCACGTGGTCTTTTACTTTCTACTAAGGCATTCATTGTTACGTAGAGGCTTCCAGATGGATGGCTACGAGATTCATGCCTCGCCCATCTTAACCTCCGTGCCTTCATATCCTAGGATATTGATTGACCGTTTTCTGTAAGCAGTTCTTTATTGGTCTTTATTATCCATACGTTTGTACTCTAATTCCTGTTCGTTTTGGTTATCGTGCGGAGGATTTTGATTGATAATACAAAACCTAAAAAGTTTTCCTAATGCCCTACATAACTTCAAATAAATAAATATATATATATATATATATATATCATAGAAATCGGACCATTTTTAGAAAAGATACAGCCAATCGTAATTTGTACATATGTTTTGGTCTATTATTTTGTATGTAAATTAAGTTCTCCCTCTCATAATACATTGTAGTTACATATTTCCAAATTATAATACCATTCGTTCATAAACTAATATACTAAGGGAATTAACAAGTATCAATTATAGTTAATAAACTGGCGCATAACCTATCCCCTATCAAACATTTAAGAAGGGGAGAGCATCTTATTACTCTCCTCTTCTTAAATACAGTGCAAGGGAAAGTAGGATTAAAAAAAATTACACTTGCTGTGGACTATCCCATGTTTTTCTCTTGTAACCTTTAGGGTCTTAAACCTTAAAAAGTCAATAGACCATGAAAATGTTATTCTACCCAAAAATATTGCACAACTTGCGTCATACCTTTTAAGCATTTCTGTTTACGCTTTTGTATTTTATTTTATATTGAATCCAAATATATATATATATATATATATGTATATGTCCCTAAAGATGTTTCGATATTTTTTTTCAAAAATTGAATATAATTAGTAATCATATGAAGGGTAAGATCGTCATGCCTAATCCTATTTCACATTAAACTGTAAGCTCGAAAAGGAAGCCTATAAATCTCGACCTCTTAAAAAACAAAAAAAATGTGTGGATTATTAAAAATATGGAAATAAATAATGAAGTATAATATTATGAATTAAGTAAATGCATATATTTGAATAATATTCATCAGGATTAACATACATGAACTCATGTCATCCAAATATAAGATTCCATCATGTGACAGCCAACCATCCAACTATTCTAGCCAGCGCCGTTTATTTCTAGATTAAAAAGCAAAGCTCTTGAGATCTCTCTTAATTTGGTTTCTTCTGTATACATTTGAAATATAAAATTATGAATGGAATGTAGAAATATATTAGGGGTTTACATTTTACATTGATCAGTTACATGATTAAATAAAGTTTTTTTCCATATATGCATTTCAATCATATCTTACAATATATTCACGAAAAAAAGTTCCTTTCTATTACAGGCAAGAGCAGCAAAACAACTATTTTTCTTTCTAAAAAAAAAAATAAAAAATAATAGAACACTCGTCTATGTTTGAATTAGGATTCCATTTTAACTATTACTGATTACTTGTTTAAATGGACTTACTGATTACTTGTTTAAAAGTAAGATGAAGAAAACTTTCGAAAAACTCCTCTTTTGAATTTTCCTCCCAAAAAATGTTAATAAATAACTTAATAAAAAATGACTTTTATTAACTAATTTGTTTTTTTAATTTGTCGTGTTCAAGTACGAACTTTCTCTACGTGCAGTATAGTAGTTTAATTTTAAATTAACCAAGAGTAAATAAAATCCTTCATCAGCGTTTTCGTAGATGGTAACAGTGAGGTAGTAGATAAACAGGGGGCCTTGAAAGGCACTTGGATATAATCTATCTTACTCCTACTGACCCGAATAACAATTGTCCCACAGAATCGCTTAAGACTCCCATACACGGTTAATATTATAAAACTTTTTTTTTCTTACGCCTCTTGACTCCGACTTTTCGCCATGAGTCTTCTAGCAGCTTTTTGGGGCTGTCATAGGCGAAAGCAGAGATCGTTTGGTTCACTTCTTCCAGATATCTAGGAAGCACGTGGTTTACAATAACCGGACGCGATCGCAATTCACTCCCTCTTCATCAAACACTTTCCTGATGTTGGGCAATCTTTTGCAGCAATCACCACCCAGTTTTTTATTGAATAGGGGATTATCAACCCTATATCCAATTCCCAACCTGGAGGACCAGGAGCTTTAGTGTAAGACAAAAAGGTCGCTCACCTCCCTGTGTATGGTATATGGTTTCAACAATCCACGAATTATATATATATATATATAATTGTTGACCGTGTAAGTATATAGGCATTTTGTCACCATCTTATATAACACAGAACTGCAAGAATTAGAAATTAAAATCAATATAAACCATGATAGCTTACACATCGAATTCTATCCTCCCCGACTCCAGGTTCCTCTTCAGGACTTCCGACAGGCCACCCACGTTCAGGACTCCGATGACCATGACTATCCCGATTGCAGCAAGCATCATCATCACCTGAACTGTGTCCGTCCATACCACGGCCTTCAGCCCTCCCTGCAACAAAAGAGGTTTGTATCAGGAGTTGAAACTTTTAAAGAACATTTTTTAAAAAAGTTACATTTTAACAGTTTGTGTTAAACTTTGAATGAAAAAAGTTCTTTAAATAAAATTTGTTTGAGTACCTTTACTTGAAAAATTGCAAGAGAAAAAATCTAGTTTCAAAAGGACTGAAAATTACCGACAATAAAAATTCCGATGATACCGAAACTTTTTAAAAATGAAACAGAAAAAAAGGTTTTTTCCTTTTCAAGTCCTGGTTTTTTATGCATAAAATAACATAAACATTTAGGACCAAAAAAAAGAGAAACCTCAGGTTTTTTTTTTTTTTTTTAAACTATACTTGAATATCAAATGTTTTCTAAACTTGCACATTAATTGGTAAACATGAGGGAGGACATATATACAAAAATTAAATAAAAAATATAACTAACTTTAAATAACTAATATATTTAACTAATTTCTAAAAAAATGATTAACAATGACAGGTTAATTATTAGAATATCAATATTTTGAAAAAAAACTAATAAAGAAAAGAAAGTACTGCAGTGCGGGCCGATCTTCAGAGGCGTTCACTACTTGTTAGAAATAAAAAAAAAAAATACAAAAAGGAAGTAAAATAATTAATTTTAGCCCATCAATAAAGCAACTGTATTACACTAATATAGAATGAAATAATATTCAAATATTACTAAGTATAAAACAGCTTAAAAATAAATTAATTTTTTTTTGGGGGAGGGGAGACAGGGGAGGGGTGATGTCATTGCCCGAGGTCGGCGAATGTCGGTACTTTCATTCTGTATCAATTAAATACAATTATACTAGAGATCAGAGATTACATTTACAACATATTTATAAATAAGTTTAATAAATAAATTAAGTTGTAGAAATATAATAGATACAAATAATAAACAGACTAAAATAGCATAAAAAAAACAACTTAAACATGTAAAATAAACAACTTAAACACGGATATAATGTACACTATTTACAATCAGCCTGGGGAACTCGTAGTCTTGTTCCCTGAAAGAAATATAATTTAAAAACCTCTTCACCACTTTTGAGGCAAATTTTTGGATTCATTTCCTTGGAAAATGAAATTATCAAAATATGTTTGATTAATTTTTTGTAAAATATTGGTAGGGACTTTGAATATAGAATTTATTTTAGAGCACTCATTGACATTTGGTTTTCCCCACAGGTGCAAAAGTTGAGGCCACGTGAGTCACTTTGCAGGGCTATCCGGCATCAATGACATTTATGTACAATAAATAAATAATTAAATATTGCATTTTTCAATTATATAACATACGTAAAACACGTATTAAAGTAATTTGGTCGAACTGTTTAATATAATAAATCCTCAGATAATATAAATTAGCTCAGATCCACATAATGTTATTTATGCTCATTATGTAGGATATAATATCTTTTATTAGAAAAAAATATTAACATTTTTTTTCGTATCTTTAAAAAATGACAATAAAATTACACTCCGAGCAGCCATAATATAGAGAAATACGTGTACCTTTTTTTTTCTTTTCAATGCTTCATAACTTCTAAAATATTAAAGATTTATAAAATTTCAAAACAGAATTTTATTTGTCATGCATCGAAGTACGTTAATTTTTAAATTATTTTATCACCATATTTTGATTTTGAAATAAAATCATTTTTAAAAATAATAAATGACCCAAGGTACAATTACTGTACTTGTACGTTGGGTGATTCTATATTGTATCTTGGGCAAGTACTCATATCTTGGGCTACGCATCTTACATGGGTAAAATTTTTTGTAATAGGAATTATAATTATAATTCAAAAATAAATATCACTTATCTGGTAAGTTAACTTTTTCATGTCATCTATTGAAAGCTCATCATATATTATGGTTGCAGTCAATAAATAATCCTATATATTATTTCTAAAAGGTGTTTTTTTGTCGGTACGCCATAAGTCGTCAATTCTTCATCAAATCTAATGATTGACCACTGATTTTGAAGATATTCTCTTCCTTCACATACGAAAAATAGTCCCTCCCATTCCTCCGAAATTTCTGGAAAAAACGTTATAGAGGAAAAGAAACTTTATTTGCGAATAACTCAAAAAGTATGCATTTTTCTTGATTGTACTCCTAATAATTAGAAAGACTACTAAATTACCTACAAAACAAAAAAAAAAATCGGGCAATTATTAACAAAGATACAATCCATTAGTTTTGGTATACTTAATAATTTCTTCCATAAAGATATTGCATTTAGGAGTAGAATATTCTACTACATTTTTTTCCTGGCTGATGTATTAACTTTATTATTTCTAAATGGTATTTGGCGGTTCTTACATTTTATTTTTTAAATTATTTTTTTAATAATTTAGAATATAACATGATCGGGGCTTTATTACTTTTTTTTTGTCTTTATTACTTTTATTATCTTTTCAGTCAGCGTTTAAAAATAGGTCCTAGCAAAGCAAGTTGTACAAATATTTTTGTCCATTATCTTTAATAGAATATTGTAATCGACCAAGGAAAAAATATTAATTCCTTCCTTAAATAATACATAAGAACTACTTATTTCCACATTGTATTTCTTCACTGAACTAAATTTTCTGAGAATTTTTCGCACGGGGAAACTAGTTTTTTTATGAACTTCTTTACTAAAAACCACGAATCAAGTATTTATTCTCACAAGGGACATATTTTGAAATTATATTAATGTACTTTGAGCCGGTCCAAGGTACATTATAAAACAGAGGCACAATGTACAATGATATGACTTCATATTTTTAATTTAATTTTTTAACAAATTTCTACAGTATTTTGCTTAGAACTTGCCTTCAAAAGAAGCAAAATTTTTTAATTAAAAATTATCATATCAAGTAAAGACTAATTACACTTGCATCTCTAAAACGCTCTTATCGATATAATAAAAAAACTGAGCTTGCTGAATTTTGCCACAAATCCTGAATTTGCCCCGTTGGAATTTCTTCTTAGTATGGTAGCCCAAGGTACATGTATTTCCCCTATATATATTATGGCTGCTCAGAATCAGCAGGGCCACGAGGACATTTTTTTCTTGAAATAAACCATACATTGACCAAGGGGGAAACGAAATCGCGATTTCTAATTGAAGTACATGGGATAGGTTAATCATACCTACTCCCAGTTTATCTAAGTTGCCTTGAGTATCCAATAAATAATTCAATAAATAATTATAAAAATAAATAATAAATAAAATAATTACCAAACTGGTGTAAAAGATGCAGACGGTGCATACGATCGGTGTTATAAGATGAAGGTTGATCCCAGTTACTAAAAACAGATAAGACTATAAGGAATATACATTCCGTATTGAAAAATATTCTATAACAAAAATTAACAATTATGTCTATTACCTTGGCTGAACGCTAAAGCTGGTACGTAGACAACAATAGGGATATACAGTAACTGAAAATATTAATTGGTTATCAATTTAATATAAACATGAAAACATGAAATTTAAATTTTATATAACCATTGACTATCATATAGATAATTATTAGTTGTAAATAATATTATAAATTAATTTACTAGTCAATAAATAAGACAGTAGGTCACCAACATTTTTATTTATTTATGCAAAGAATAAAATACTGTTAAAATGTTCGGCTATTGCTGAGCTGAAATGCACATTAAGATAAATTGTAGGATGCGAACTTTCATGTATTGTGGAATTGAAATCAAGACGGTTATTGAGATAAAAAAAAAATTATAATTGTATCTATTTTCTTGATAGTCCATTTTAAATGATGTAGCGAATGAAGTTTAAAAAAAAAACTAATTTAACTGCTTAAATTTTAAAAATTATTTATCTATTTTAATATTCCACGTCATTTGCACAGGCGCAGTAGCGCATCGACCAATTTCGAAGTACTGGTTATTATTTGTAAGTATGCTTGGTAGACTTTAATTTTATTATTATTGAAGTAGTAGGTCTCTTGGCTATTTTCTTTTTAAAAAATGGAGGAGGAAATTGAAAAAATATATCGTGGATGTAAGATTTTACTGTCGAAAGGTTGTTATTATATACAGTGTTATTGAAATATACCAGAGTGCTTTAACAATTTTTCATATAATTTTTTATTGTGTAGTTTATATTTTGTTTATGTGTGTTTGTTTTGAACAACTCCAAAATTCTACCTCTTATGTCCAAATTGGTCTCGGTATAGTGTTGTAGATTAGTCGCTAGTTTCGTAAGTAAGGATCTGTGGTTCTCATGTGGGAGTTGATTATATCATCTTGTCAGTTCTTGTCTTTCAAGTAGCTTTCGTAAGAGAGAAAATTATGCGAGTAGATTTGCTGTCATTTATTTTAATTTTCTATTTTCCGATCCACTTTTCAAGTTTTCAAGTTTTTTGAATTATTATTTATATTTTACGTACTTGACTCAAACGTGTTATACTTCACTAATCAAATATAACTTATAACTCAAACTAATTGTAACCACGTTTATTAATGATGATCCGATATTGAGAGCTGTTCTTGGAGTATTTTCTCGGAACGTGAAGGTGACCTGAATGGTTTGCCTTGAGGAAGGACGTAGAGATCGTAGAAATTTATTATCGATTATCATTAACCAATTAGGTTTGTCAGGGTTTGACAGGCGCTTCCCGGGTCACACTAAAATTAGAAACTAGCGTTATTCAGAAAATTAACCAGGCGATTGGACAGTAGTCTCCTTTAAATAATGCAGAGGAAAATTACGGAACTGAGTAATTATCCGATTTATCTTCAGTTAAACCGTTGAACGAATTTCCTTATCATACTATAATGTTTATTGATAAACGTCATCAATATTATACTATTCAAGCGGAAGCCCTTCTCTCCCCCTGACTATATTTAATAGGACAAAAAAAATATATTAATTAAAAAAAAAAGCTTTCGGGCTGAAGCTCCTCCCCCAATATTAAATCCCGGATTCGTTAGTCATGTGAAATGTTCCATTTTTCCCCCTAGTTCCATGACACAAAATTTTCACTTTGAAAATTCATAACCCCTTAAAAATGTGTACACTTAAAAATTCACAACCCCGTCAAAAGTTGTCCCCTCAAATTGGTATAACTTTTAGACCCCTTTATGGACACCTCTGGTTTTGAAGATTTGGAATACAAGAAATATTACAGTAATTTGATCGTTAGTTTACAGTTTAAGACATCTCGTAGTCTTACGTAAGCATAGGGGATATAGTGCGTACGTTCGTTGAATTTAGTTCTTGCTGATATAATCTTTATTTATTCACATCTAGAAATAATCTGGAAATTTTGGAATATATATATAATGGATTGCTGTCATTGTTATAAACATTCTAAATAATGAACAAATATTAAAATTAGTTTATATCTTAATTAATGTGTATATATTTTACTAAAAATAAATCAAATATCTTATATGCTGATTTCTTGTTTACAAATATTTCTGTAATGATCATTTATTTTTTATCTCAAAATAATTTAAAAAAAATAAAACATACCATTTTGATGATGAAGAGGCAGGATCCTAGAGTTCTCACCTTTTTGTTGAACCTTAACCTAAGGTACTGTAAATAAATGTAACTATATTAAATATATGAAATTATATAAATATTGTAACTAAGAAAAATACGGAGATGGTTCAATGAGTCAAAAAACAATATATTTATCAAATACTTACGTTTCAGCCCACAGGCTTTAATCAATTTGGCAAAGTAATATCTTAGATTCTTTATTCTGTACAACTTATGTTCTGTTTGCCATATCATTTAATACCAATTCAATTTTGGCTACCTGATTTACGAATTTCGTAATAATACATAGTAAGTAAATTTTGTATGTATATTTTAATATTTTTTTCTAATTACATATGACATAGAATCTACATTGAAGATTCAAGAAGAAACACAAGTTATGTACTTTAATTTAAATTCTTTGGATACTTAAAGAGTATAGGTTCCCTTAAAATAAATTAACAACAAATTATAACTTGGGTTAGTACTGTAAGTTACATAGGAAGAAGAATGATTTTTTTGGGGGCTTTAAGATTTTAGAAAAAAAAAACTATTTTTTCAGAAATTTACGTTTTTTTCATATATTGAAGCCATAATTTTATTTTTCTAATGAACTTTCTAAGTTTATTGTGTCCTTGACGATCTTCCTCTTTTATTATTTTAGAAATATTGTGGGCCAATCCCTCGATATATTTTCTCCTATTGCTAAAACGCTTACACGTATTCACTGGATGTAGGAAGAACGGTTTGGTTAAAAGTAGTTATTTTCAGTTGTAACGAGTTGGGTTTGCCTTGGGAATGGGCTGGAGCGAAGAAATCTGATAGGATAAGTAAATATATTAGAATTTAATTTATATATATTTCGAATTTATTTTTTTACTATTTTTTGTTTTAATCCTGACTGTTTTCCCTCTTATTATTACTGTTTCATTACTATTATATTTTTTTCTCATTACTACACACGCCTGGCTTATACCACTTAATTATTATTCATTTTATTAAATTACTAATGATTACTAATGAATTGCTAAATAATTAAATTACCTAAGAAATATGAATTGCTAAATAAAGATAAAAATAAATATATATTTCATTCGTTTATACTAAATTCCAAAGTTTTAGATTTTAAATGGGGGTTGAAATAATTTATCAAGCTCACAAAGCAAATTAAGTCAGTTTCCAAACCAAGTTAGGCGTGTAATATTTCTTTATATTATTTTACATGGTCCTAACTGGAATGGACTGGACTCAATGTTCACCTAAGCAAAATTACTGCACCAAAAATGAATTTTATAGGAATTCAGCTATGAAAAAAAAAAAAAAAATTAAAAATGGATGAGGCTCGACGCAACCAAATAAGAGTTGCACATTTCCCCTAATAAAGCCAAAGTGGAAGAATGGCAACTGCGGTGATTCGGACATGTGTGTCGAATACTAGATGACCGTTGAGCCAATATCTTCATGGAAGCAAGGCCATGAAGAAAAAGACCAGCAGCCAGGCGTTGATCGCTATATAGACTATATAGACTATATAGAGTACCGGAAGAAAGTCCCTTTATAGTCCAGTTAATGAATGCTCGAAAAGAAGTTATAGAAGGATATGGCGGGATAAAATTTTTGACTTGGGAACATTGTTTGGACAACTAAGGAGGTAAACATACTAAAAGTCCCCACTCCTAGGTGGTGAACCAGATGTGAGGAGGGGAGTCTCTAGGTCAGTTTTTTGCAGAACAAAATACTGGTTATAATATTCGTTGTTATAATATATATGCATATATCTACATTATGATTTAGATGTATAGAGAGTTAGGACAATATCATAACGTACATCATAAAAATTATTTTTTTCTGCAAATTCTCCGAATTGACATATAAAGTATACGAATTGATCTAACTTTTGAACCGTTGAAGAAATTTTATTATTATTATTATTTATGAAATTTACAACTTTACATTAATATACATTCAGCAAATGTGATACAGAGAAATACATAACATGACAAGGCTTGTAGAGAATCTACCTGAGAACAACTGTATAAAAAAAAATACATCTAGTAAATTCGTACATGGATATAATGACATGAAACACATGTTGAGAAACTACCTATTTGTAGCCCTCTAATAATATGTCTATATTAGGAGATCACGAGGCCATCTTCTTTTCAGATATCTCAGAAGATTATCAGAAATTGAATAGGAAGCAAGGTTAGAAACAAGAGGGTTGGGATGGTTATAAAGTTTATTGTGGAAGGATAAATATCTGGATTGGGCAAAACCTGAAACATAAGGAACATTAAGTGTATTATGGATTATTTTATCTATTATACTTCTTTTTTTCTGGGAAGTTGTATAATATTCTTAGTTATTTGGCAATGATTACTTCCAATTAGCAACAATTGAATATATTTGTTGTATTATCAAAGTTGCATGTTTACAAGTTTACGTTTCGGGATATTTACTCCCATCTTCAGAACCACAATCCCAATGATCTTCTGGATGCAAGGCTTAAACATAATGTGCTCTATCGTCAGTTTCTAATTCATGTCATAATAATCTCGGTATATAACATCTAGAGCAACATCTTGCTTTTAGACTAATTATTGGGTGTCTGCCATAATGGAATACCATGCCATTGTCGATGTGATGGATAGTTTTCTTGATATAAACGAAAACACGAAAAAAGTGATCTTCTAGACGGCCCCACATCTGGCTCACCATCCAGTAGTGGGGACTTTTAGTATGTTTACTTCCTCATTGATCCAAACAATGTCCCAATGTCAAAAATTGTGTCCCCACCATTTCTTTCTATAATCATTCATTGACTGGACTATTAGCAGATATGAAGAAATGATGAGCAAATATATACCAGAACTCCAGCAATGAAGCGAATAAATATAGGAGAAAGTAATGTTTTATGGTTTTAAATTCTCAATGACTATTTCGGTTAAAAGTCCTAACGTCTTGGTCTTCCATTATATGAGTCACTAGATTTGTTTCATACAATTACTATTATTTTCATTGGATTTCCTGTTTAAACAATTATCAGATCTTTGCTATAGAAAAGGCTTGCGGATTATCCCTCATGGAGTCAACCAAGGCCTTCTTACTAAGCTTAGAAAACGCTAGTCCTTATTCATACAAAGGTTTCTTGATAAGGATTGTGAAGCATCGCAGTAACTGTAATGGCTCTCGGGATCAGTCGGTTCTGAATATGGCAAAATATGTTCTATAATAGCAAATTTATAACAAAATTAAAGACACTATTAAAACAAAAAAGATCGAGTACAAAGTTATATTATCGCTCTATTATACAGGGTGTCTGGTAAGTAGAAAGAAATATTTAAATGGGTAATAGTAGACATCCAGATCTACCAAAATGTTTATATTAACAATTGCCCAATTTCTAACAGAAAAGTAAAAAATATAAAATAGTAGTCACGTAGGAAAAGCGAGTTTTTTGTTGAATAGGAAACGACAACTTAAAAAATATTTGATTTGAGTAACTAAACATTGCTCCATAGAAAAATAGATAAAATTTACTTTAAATATAATTTTTTTTTTTCCTACCCCCCAGGAATTTCTTGATTACAAAATACAATATATATATATATATATATAAATGTATATATACATACATTTTCAATTTAATTAAATTTAATTATTTAAATATAATTAGAAATACTCATTATTAAAACTATTTAAAGCACAGGCGGATCTATTGGGGGAGAGAGGGAGGGGGGCTTTCGGGCTGAAGCTTCTCCCAAAATGATAAAATTTAACTATGTTTTATGGTAAAAAAATATCTCTTAAAGTATTATTGTTCGTCTAATTACATTTAATAGGATACAAAAAATCACATAAACACCATTTCATATATGTAGGTAGTATCTTTCTTTTTTTTAAGCGTATTTTCGTTATATATATATATATATATATATATATGAAAAAAAAACCTTTCGGGCTGAAACACCCTCTCCCAAAATGAAATCCCGGGTGATATCCGCTAGTGATTTAAAGAGAACTTTTGAGCGGCCATACACAGCTAAGTTTCATTAAAAACAAAGTCATATATTATTTGTGATATTTTTTATCAACCTTCCAAGTACACTAGATTTTCTCCACTTTTACATGAACTTCCTCGTTTAATTAGCTTTAAGTCCACATTAATAAAGTTACGGTTTATTAGGAAAAATGTTGGGATTCACCTCAAGTTGTGTAAAGAAATTATGTGATTTTCTATTCAGTCACCTTGAAGTACCCGCATTTATCACACTTCTTATTCCCAGAATTATTTCCCCTTTATTATGGTAACAAATCGAGGATAAGAATGATTATAATTATATAATAATATAACTTAGCAATAAGGCGCGATGTATATTATAGATTTTTAAAGAAATTAAAAAAAATCCGAACTGTGGTTTCGATATTTTATTTGATGTTGATAAAAAATATTCTGTACTACAGGATACATGTAAATTACAGTTATACAAATTGAGCAACGAGTAGTACAATTTAATGAACACTTATACAATTGTAAAATGGAAGTTGGTCCGCTGTTTGGCGTGGGGATCCCCTAGTCTTTATTAAACAAATAAATATGAGTAATGCTTGTTTTTAGCTCGAAATAATTATGCTCCTATTCATAGCATTATTTTTAGCTGCTATTTTTTTGTGGTATCTCAAAAAGTTACTACATTATATAAAATGATACGAGTAATTAAAAATAAATAGTTCCCCACTCATTAAAATCAACCTCAAACTGGATTAGTTATTATGAATGTCCGATGGAATCCTATAGTATAATTTGTCATTTTGTATGTAGAATTATCTACGAACTTATTCTATTCTAAACAGGAAGAAAGGAGTATATTTACCTCGTAAGATGACGTTATCTGCAGCTTGTAAAAAACAGGTATATACACGAAAGCCATAGTGAAGCTCACCAGAATTTCAGGGATGACAATCAACCAATATTGAGTTCCATAAACGTACATCTCTGCTGGCAGTCCGAGTACTGATATTCCAGATATGTAACTAAAAATTATTAAGAATTAAACTAAAAACTAAAAAATTCAATACCCCTTACATTTTATTTAAGTTGTGTTGAATGACAGATTTTTAATGTATGCTTTCGATGAAGTAGAAAATAAATAATATAGATACATATACTTTGGCTCACGATAGTGGCTTGAATCAGGAAGAAGAGAATGTGGACCAATGGAAATGAGGTGTGTGGATTTCTGTGGATGAAGTTGAAAAACATCTTTCGTTCCAAAGAAAAAACGAATTGCATCAGTCTATGCTTCTTAATTTTTCACACAAGCAGTATTTTCAATGAACGTTATTAACGAGAGTAAAAATGCAAAAAAGAGATAAATCCCTGCTGGGACATCCTATTAAATACTAGATTCCAAAAATTATTAATTTTTTTTATCATTGAATAAAAAAAAAACTAAAGAGAGATTCTCAATGCTCCACTCACTAATTCAGGTATCATCAGCAAAAAATAAATAAATAAATAAGATTATAAATAGCTAAAAAGAGATAATAACCCACTCCTTTAGAGACCTGATTTATATAATTTTACATATTTCTTTCCTAATGATGTCAGAATTACGAAAAATTGATTGGTTACTTTAGGTAGACACCAGTAATAGGCACTTTTTAATTCATGAAGAAGAAATGAGCTTTTTATGCACTTTAGAGATATTGAGTACAAAAAGATTTTTAGCTCTCAGAAAAGTGATATCTCAACTACAACTGATTAATGGTCACCGGACAGTTCATCTTTTATTAAAACAAGAGTTAGGGTTTGGCAAATTGAGGTTTCCTTCACCTTTGTTTAGGAGGTAAGTTTGATATTCATAATTTGCTTTCAATTTTTTTTTTTTTTGTTTGTTATTTTAATGGAATTTACAACTGTATTACATAGAAAATACAATAAGTAAATGTGAAATTTTTAACATGGCATGTACAACATGAAGAGAAACTACCCATTGGTATAATATACTTTGAGTTCTTTCAATTAAATCCATTTGTGAAGATTCACCAGCAGAATTAAAGTTGTGGTTTACATTAATGTGAAAAGTTCTTTTAAAGTGTCTATTACCGGTACATTTACCTCATTTGTTGGCTTTGTTAGAATAAGTTATTTTTATGGAACGGGATATAATAATTTTAGGCGCTGAATGCGACCATTCTGCAATGCATATTATCTGGTAACATTTGAGACAAATGGACCGATTAAAGGCAGTGTTATGTCCCACGCTTCCTAATTTACAGTTCTTCCTCCTGCACCACTACAACCCATGAAGGGTCTTGGATTCAGTATTATTTATGGAAAGTATTGCTTCTTAGTCAACGGTTGGGAAAGGAGATCACGCTCAACCGCCAGGTTTTCCCCTTTACTTAATTATTTAAATAAGCGTACCAACTTAAGAGGCTAGGTGTGGCCCATGAGGGTCTCCTGGTCCCAGGGTCGCCCCACGTCTGATGAAACAGAATTTTTCTGCCATGAGCCGGGATTCGAACCCTCGACCTTGAGCATTGGAAGATTAGTGCCCTACCACTGAACTACCCCACTCTCCTAATTAATAGTTAATTGTGTTTAATTTGGATTAATACTACAATTAATTTCTGAAAAAAAAACAAAGAAAAAAGTTGAAGAATTAACTGTGAAAATATATTTATTTTATTATATATACATATTTCTGCCCCACAATAAATTTACCATCTACATTGGTATTCAGCAAATATGATATCAAGGACAAGAAATGATAGCATAAGAAAAAAAATAATAGTAATAACAAAAAAAAAAGTGATAATATATACTGGAATATATTTATATAAGAATATAGTGGAAACAGTCGGCACATAAGAAATTTTACAAAGAGGCAACAATCTATTTGGGGCATGCATTGAAAAGCACCACAAATGATTTTTTATTTCAATTTTTAAGGTCTTGAACATGTTTCGTAGTTTATAAAAAAATTGTGTTAAGGACTGTATAGACATAGGAAACAGTTTCAATTAAAATAAAAGTCAAGATGAGATGAGACTTTTACATACCTCAGAAAAATTCTAAAGTCATTATTTAACTATAAATATAAGATAACATAAATGTTCAACTTACTCTTAACAAAATTGTTAGTAGGAAGGTATGAAACACACTGACCTCAAGAGCACTATAGAAATAACAATGAATGGCATTTTAAAATTTTCTAATGGGAACTTTTTCCATACATTTGTCAATAGAGGGCATTATTCTCCAATCTAGAAAAAACTGAAATCTTTAAACCAACAAGGAAGCTTATCATTTACATTTAAAGTCCAACTTGGCCATCACTGGGCTCCCTGCACATAACTGGTGCGTTCATCCTAATTGACAATGCAGAAAAAACGAAATTGATAAAAGACTAAACTTGTTGCCAATTTAATCCATTTGGAAAAACTCATCATCAGAACTAAAGCTGTGTTTCACATTAATGATGAAGATTTCTCTTTAAGTGCTTATTGCCAATACATTTACCTTATCAATTTTCTAATATCAATGCTTCTCTATAATTTCGTTATAATAATAAAAATATCAGTAAACTTAAGATTTTATTAAAATTTGGGTCTTGTTTGCAGGAAAATACAAGATATTGGCATTAGAAATCGTCTAAATTCTATCGGAAACACCATGAAACGAGAAAAACAATCTCCTTCCAGCTATATCAATAGAAATTGATATTGGAATACATTGGTGGTGCCCATCCCCTCCCTCCCTGAGATATATAACAGATATCTCTCCAGTTCCCAAGATATTTAGTTGCTCTCTAAAAAACAAACAAGCGACAGTAGGATTGGAATAATTGTAGATCATACATAACTACACTTGACGCATCCAGCGCTATCCAACTGGGGCCCCCTCTGATACATTATTTCAGCTGAGTATAAACCAATTGTAAACTATGAAAAGATCTGAACTCGTTAAGTATTCTCAATGGCTCGTGAGTAGTATTTTAGAAAACTAGGATGTTAAAAGAGCTCTTTATCCTAACTCTAGTTTATAACGACCTTAATCGCCTCAAATTAAGGCGGCTTGTGTGGTTTCCTATTCTACTCCGTGCGTCTCATTCCCAAGTCAGTCTGAATAATTGTGATATAAAGACGTTCATTCTTCTTTAACTATACGAATGATGAAGTTTATTTGTAATTGTGATTAAAATCTTCCTGTATTCAAACTTCTCCAGAATAACTTACTATTCCTGATTTTACTCTAAAGGGAGTGATAATGTAATTTTCTAAGGATTTCCTTAATTGAACAGTCTTTAAAGTTAAATTACATTTGAGCTGTATATAAGATAAAAAAACCATGTGATGATTAAGAAATCGTAATGAGTCAGGTTTCGCATGAATTAAAGATACCTGAACATTAAGATATTTTATTCTGATAAATACTTCTTGAATAATGAAACTATGCTAAATGCTGCTTACTCTTTTAAAAAATACTCATGAACTTACAGTTGCTTGAAAGAGATAATAGAAAAAGTGGACCTAAATTCATTTAAAAAAATACTAAGCAGTAATAGTTATGGTCAAAACATTCGGGCCCATGCACCATTTATTTAAATTATTCACAGAGCTTTATAAAATCCCAGAATTAATAAATTTATTTTTGTTTCATTTTATTTTGTGAATGGGGTAGAATGGTTGGTAAGTCTCTAGACTTCAAGCCTCTAGTCCTAGCGTTCGAGTCCCTCTCTGTTAGTTGATATATTTATTCTACTATATCAGCAAGATCGACTTCTTGGACTTGGATACTTTTGGGAAAACTCAATATCTGTGAATGGGTACCAGATTCTTCAGCGAAAAAGGGGGAGATCATTACGTTTGTTCTGATCCAGGTCAGATTCCCTGCCGGAGTATCCGTCCCCCCAAGGTCGATGGCGCATCTTTCGCCTCCCAAAATATTTGATTGCTCATGTCTTATTAAAAAACAGTGCAAGTTAATTAGAAAAATCATAGTATACAATTCATGTTGACCAAAATCAGCCTTAGTCTTGCAAAGTGCAAGACCAAGACCAAGGCCGCCTTACTGTTGCAAGACCAAAACCAGGACTGGTAAAAAAAATCGATTTTTTAAATAAAATTTAAGGCAAAATAGTTACTAATACTTGATAATCTTAGTTACTATGTGCTAATAATTGGTATAACCAATATACTTTTGCATTTAACTCCTCTAATTTTTCATTCGGGCTTAGTTAGTTTTCTCCTATCTAAAAAATTAAAGTAATGTCTCTATAGTAACCAGCTAATAATTAACTACAAGACTGCTGTTAGACTCTTGTGCAAGACCAAGACCATGATCAAGACTGAGTTTGCAAGACCAAGACTCGTCTCGATTTCACATTTGGACAACACTATATACAATTGTAATTCCTGCAGTCTGTTACATACTTATCTCGGTCTTTTGGTTTCGAACTTATCATTCCAAAAATTCATAAACTCGTCGAAATGTGCCTCCTAAAAACTTCACAACTCTATCAATACGTGGCCTCCTAAAAAATGTTAAAGGCGTAACTTGATCCATCAAAACCCTTTCTGGAAACCCCTGAACCACAACCATGCCCAAGGAACTGTATTTCTTTAACTGGGACCAAGAAGACACTTAATGGGTTGTAGTCACTAAACATAAAACATGCTCTATAGTTTTTCTCTGTTGTGGAGTTGTAATTGTAAGGTTTTTAATTTATATTCAGGAAGTACTGTGACAATCTTTCATAGCAAAGAAAGTAGTACCTGGTAGAATGGGATTAGTCGTTTCGATCCTATGTAGAATATGTTTGGTTAAAGTACACCAGGAAATAGAAAGACAAAACTGACACAATAGACCAAACATTTCACAAAAAGTGAAGTGGGAGGTAAAAAAGAGATGAAACGGAAAATTTACAATTTTTTTCTTATTAGTTCATGGTATAGACCCTTTTTTATCAAATTACTAAACTTCGTAAATAGCTTCACCTTATCGTAGCCTACAAAAATTTAATTTACGAATATTCTCGGGATTGGGGCGTTTTCAGAGGTCGACAAACTTTGTCTATTTAATTAGGTACGAAAACCTCGTAAACACACATTTGCTTCCCACTCGAATAGTAAGATAACTGAATCACAAAGTCGAGAAAAAAAGTGGCCTTCAAAAACATCCCCAAATTGTCAAAATAACGAGTTTATAGGATAAACGGCCCAACATTTTTTTAGGCCACATTTTTTATGGATTTTGTGATCAAATTTTCTTACGATCCAAGTGAAAAGCAAATGGGTATTTACGAGTTTTTAGTAGCTAATTAAATCAACAAAGTTTTCCCCCCTCCAGATTGAAAACGTCCCAATTTCGCGAATTTTCGTAAATAAAATATTTGTAGGTTACGATGAGATGAGGCTATTTACGAAGTTAATAATTCGATAACAAGGGGTCTATATACCACGGACTAATATGAAAGGATCAACAAAAATATTAAGCGGTATGAAAAGAACGGCTTGGGAAAAATGGAGATACCGAAGTTCTATTTTAGTTTATTAGTTGTGCCTCTCTCAGCCTTAATACTCAGTGCCCTTAAGTGTGGCAAAATGTATTATTACTCAATAAACAGATAGATAATTTAAAAAAAAAAAGTTTATTAGTACGATTATCGAACGAGAAGAAATAGATTTATAGTTAGTTGAGCATTGACACTGACACTCTATGATGTTTCCGTTCAGTTTTCTGACCACGTTCACAACATTCCTTACCTGGCAATGAGTGACATTGAGATCGGAAATATCCCCATAGTCTTCCCTCCGAGTAAGTATTCCGCGGTCGTATTTTGTTTCTCTTTGGCGAAGAAGGCGAAGTACACGCCGATGCCTGTGGAGAGGATCAGCAAGGCGGAGAAAACCGTGTAATCGATCCAATCTATATAAGCCGTCATCTTGTTGCCTGAAAATAAAGAAAATTACGGTAGATAAACACAAATACAGTTGCCTTAATACAGAATCAAATATATATTTAAAACAATAATAACTGTTTTTTTCTCAATATAAATAATTCTCCAACTTACTCAATCCGATTTATAATTTCATCTAACAGACAATAAAATGGTAAGAGAATAAAAGCGAAGAGTAATACGAAGTAGGTCTAAATTCGTGGACTCAAAGCTCCACTATGAGACCAGCATGGCAAAAAAAGTTTATGTATATTATGACGCCTAACTTCTTGAAATCATATGGTTTTACCACAACATAATGTAGAACAAGAGTTGTCAGTTGAATCAGTCAACAACTTTTTCGAAATTTCACTTAATTTACACTAATTTGTCATATATTCCTTCTAGGGGAAGTATCCTTTGGTATACAAATGAACTATATGGTTTTGAATGAATCATCTCCAACCATTTTTTCTTCTAGTCGTAAATGTTGATCTGATCCTGTCGACGAACTGTTCACAATCAGCAAATGGTTTGATAAAAATAATGAAATTGACATGTCAGGTATGGGGAAAGATATCACCCAACAGTAAAGAGGTAACAATCTTTTTGTTTCACTGTTTCACGTCAAAAAGCAATTTTTTTTTTTCCTCAGCAATCAAGATTTTATCTACAAGAGAGGTTTAAAACCATTAAACTATTTTTTTTTCGCAGAACTTCTGGACTGTATTGTAATTACAGTAAATGTTCTGTATTGAATGAGTTTTTTTTTGTAGACCTAAATTACAATAACTTTTATTGAGAGTAGGTTTTGTTTTAATTTTTGAAAAGGCAAGTCGTACAAAATATATACACAGCATATATATATATATATATATATATATAATTTAATTCAAATTATAAAAACGTTTAGTTAGGTTGTGAAATAACTAAAAAGGTTGAAAATTTATAATAAATGTATGATACACCGCTGTCCTAAACAGTCATTTTGAATTCATAATCAATCCATAGAAAAAAATCCATTTATATTTTTAGATTCTAGCCTCATTAATAAATATGCCATTAGATTTATTTATTTTGTAGACTTTCTAGGCTTTAAAGATCAGCGGGATTTTTCAAATAAGGAATTTGAAATTGTGAAATTCAATTGGTCAGTATCTAACCAAACGGGCTAAAGTACTTTTTAGTGGGTACCAGATTTGGCCCTAGAGAGAAACCACGAGGTTCAGGAATATTTTTCGGCAAACATAAAACTTACCGCTGAAACCTAACTGAACTGATTCTATAAAGAATTTATATATATATATATATATATATATATATATATATATATTATATAATATATATTTGTTTAAGGCAAAGATTTTAAAATCCGAAAATTCTTCTATACCTTATAAGGTATAGAAGAATTTTCGGATTTTAAAATCTTTGCCTTAAACAAATATATATATATATATATTATATATATATATATATATATATATATATATATATATTTGTTTAAGGCAAAGATTTTAAAATCCGAAAAATATTCTATACCTTATCTATCGAAAGAACATGTTAATCTTCAAAATTCTAGGTTTAAAATATTTTGATGGATCTATTGCATAAGGTTTGGAACTTTTAAGAACAAATTTATTTTTGAAACGTTTTAATATCAGGCTATACATAAAAATTTTGGTTCTCCATCAACTTATTTCCTCTTCTTCATTCTCTTCTTAAGAGTACTTTTTCTTAGGTTTATCTCATTTTTTTTTATGACTGGTAATCATTATCATGAATAGTCCTTAAACCTATTGATATAAATATCTTTACACGTTTTTCCAAGCAGCATTAGTATTAATGAGGCCTCGAGATTTCCGTTTGCTGCCCCACGCCCTATAAACCCAATCGCGAGCAACAGGTTAAAATCCATGTCAGTGATTGATAAATGATTTCTGTACACCAAAAACCAATATCCTTATGAGTACCATAGATTTCTGACTGAATAAACCAATCTAAAATTCTTAAAGAATCGACTTTCAGAGAATTAAAGTACAGAGAAATAAAAACATGCAAATTATTTAAAATATTCTAAATTATTGATATCTTCACCAATTTTTGTCATGACCAATCTTTCTCTTAGCTGTTCACTGAAACTGTTATCGTTTTTAAAACTTGAATTCAGATAAAAAAATTTAAATCAATATGTAATACGATACTGTCCATGATTCGAATAAGATCTTAAATTTACAACATTTTTTACTTTATTTCGTTTTCAAAAATATGTTGCCACAACAGTTTCATAGAATAACATCAAAATTATTTTTAAAAAATAAATAAAATCAAACATTTTTACTGAACTTTTAAAACTTAAAAAACGGACAGAAGTTTTTTATTAAATGATTCTTTTTCCTCATAAAAATCTAAACATTTAAATCTATTTTAATTTGGAAAACTATTTCCATGAATTCTTCAAATTAACTCTTCTTTATCTTTTACCAATTTAAAGCTGCGTGCTCTCCTGTAATAATTAAAAGTAATATCAACGTTATAACGAGTTAAAAAAAAAAATGAAATAATATTGAATTTGTTCTAAAAACATTTGTTCTTGAATTTTTCGCCTCATATAAATCCAATAATCACATCTGTTGTATTTCTATTTAATCTGGAGAATTGTTTCCAATAGAAAAGAGATTAATAATTACTACATTAATAATGTAGAGATGGTTGACCGTTGATATGATATGAGAAGGAGTTAGTTGAGGGTGCGGTCAAATAATTAAAAAAAAATTAAAATATATAAATAATTTTAATTTTTGCCGACGTTTCGACCCACTTTGCAGGTCGTCTTCAGGGCGTTGGATGTGGCACTGCGGGAGGCAGTTGAAACACTGGCCACACTGGTCTTTTATTTTCTTAATGAAAGGCATATTGCTTCTAATAATGAAGGTAATCCAGTTGTCTCATAAAACTGTGTCTATTCTCGGGATAAACCGCAACAAAATAGTCACCATCAAACAGAGCTTCGAGAGGGCGCTTATGATGCTTGATATTTCATCAGTATTTGCGTTTAGGCTAGCTTTTTTTTTTTTTTTTTTTTTCAAGAGTAAGTTAGTAAAGCAAAATTTCAAATTAAAATATTTCTCTGTAAAACTAGGAGTGATCCGCCATGGTACAATTATTTAGGAAGTTTATTTGAGAGGGCAAGTCAAACAAAATAAATATACAAACAATATTAAAAAAATGAGGGTTCCCTTTAAAATGTATCATACTTATGTTTTTCAAATTGTGAATTGAGCTGATATTTCGCGAATATTGTGTTTTCATTCGCGCTCAGTCTTGTCAATAATGTAGGAAAACTAACAACGAAAGATCAAAACTATATCAAAACATAATTCATACTTGTAATTGAACTATGCCATAATATGAGCTTCACAGTTTTCTTGCTCTCCTTTAGCCCGTCCGCGTCCGTTATAGAGTGTGCGGTATTCGGACTTAATACTATAAAATTTGATGAGGTTTATAAAAAGTGTCTGGTATAGAGTCCGATGAGAGACGTTACACGTAAACTCGTATTATGGTACCAGTCGCTCCAACTTTTGAGACTGAATGACGCCCATGAAAAGAACATTAATTCCTCCAAATACATTGACCAGAAAACATTTAATTTATATATTTATACATATTTCTATATTTCCCTGTAATTTTGCCATTGATCAATTCACACTGCAACTAATGCATATTTATAAGTAATATAATTAATTCAAATATTATTCTTGGTAGGTTTCCTTAATGTTTATATTTAAACGGAATTTAAATAAATCAAATACAGAACCAAGCAATGCTTTTTTTGTACCATAATAGACAATATCTGGATCTCCCGTTGCAGATTGTGGAGATAGAAATAGAAAATAAACTTTATTCTGGGACGAAGACCCCCTTAGAATGACAATGATGAACACTTACAAAATTTAAAAAAATACATATCTGGCCAAAAAAAAACTTAATAAAGATTCAAACGGTATATAGAATAGTTTAAATAAATGTATGTAAACAACCAACAACTAAACAAATAAAATAATATCTTCTCAACAATACTTATGGTTGTACTGGAAAAAAGTTACATATATAGAAAGAAAAGCACAACCTCCCGAAAAGAAAAAAAATATCAAAAGTAAGAAAATTTACTATTGACTTAAAACATAAACAGATGTTACAAAAGAACTTAAAATGAATAAAGATGGGAAAACATGTACATATATACAAATTGAGGAATGTAAAAAATGAAATACATTTCAAATAGATAAAACAAGTAGGTAAAATTCGCAGAAAATTTTTTTTAGTGAAGAAATGGCTAAACAATATGGAAATAAGTATTTCCTATGTATTATGCTAGGAAGGAATCAATATTTTTTCCTTGGTCGATTACAATATTCCATTAAACATAATAGACAAAAATATTTGTACACATTGCTTTGCTAGGACTTGTTTTTAAACGCTGACTGGAAAGATAATGAAAGTATTAAAGACAAAATAATGAACCGATAATGGGATTTTCTAAATATTAAAAAAAATAAAATAAAATGTAAGAAAAACCAAATGTCTTTAAGAAATAATAACCTTAATATATCAGCCAGGAAAAAAAGTGTAGTAGACTATTCTACTCCTAAATGCAATATCTTTAAACAGGACGACATTATTAAGTATACCAAAACTAATGAACTGTATCTCTGTCAATAATAGTCCGATTTTGAAATATCTACAGTTACTGCGCCTCTCCTATATTTTCTAATTATCATGGATAAAATCAAGAAAACAATGCATACTTTTGAGTTATTCGCAAATAAAGTTCTTTTCTTTCATAACTTTTTCCCCAGAAATTTCGGGAGGATAGGACTATTTTTCGCATGTGGGATTGTGAAGAGGAATTGGAATAAGAGGGTTTTGAATGTGGATAATGCTGGTGCATGGCGGATTATACGAGTATAGTATTGTATGATTAAGTTACTTACCTATTATTAACG